TGTTGATTTTTGTTTCTGAGACTGAGTCTGTTTGGCTTTGACCTAATTTTGTACTGAAGGATGACATTATACCGTGAATCCTCCTGATTCCACTTCCTGAGTGCTGGAAATTCAGTTTCACAGCACCACATCTGGCTTATATATAATGTTGGGATTGACTCTAGAGATTCAGGAATGCTGAGTGTGTTGTCTATTCTTGGTTGTCAACTTGACTACATTTGGAAATAACTGAAATTCAAGAGGTTGGGTAACCTGTGAGGTATTATTGTTGATTGACTCACTTGAAGTGGAAAAATCCATCTTAAATCTGGGCTACACCTTTTAGAGCATGGAAGAAGGAAACACTTGATGTTTGCCTGTTTCCCTCGACTCGCTGGCTAGTTTTTTGCTTCACTGGTTTAGAGGCTACATCTTATGGATTCCAATGTATACTGGGAACCAGCTGAGATACTCACCTTCATGGACTGAACAACTACTGGTTTCTTGGACTTCTGGTAGGAAGACAGTCATCCTTGGACAAGCAGGACCACAACCTGTAAACCACTGTAATAAATCCCCTCTATATATTTAGTTTCATTCTATCAATTTTGTTCCTCTAGAGAGCCCTGACTCTCAGCAAGCTATCTACCAAATGAACTACAGCCCAAGTCCTTGTGTTTTTTAAGAGCTTCTATATTAGCGAGCTCTAGTGGATGGATAAAATTAGCATACTAACTTTCAGGCCTGCTTCTGTCCATAAAACGTTGGCTAGCTAAGATATGCTGTTCAATAATAAAATACTGATTTTGGAAAAGAGATTATTATAATGGACGAAATTTGTAAAACTGTTATATGAAATTCAGACTTGTCATAAATCAGAATAATTCAAGACTAGAAATTAAAAATTAGTAAATTCAGGATAAAATAATTTAAATGAGAAAAATTGGCTCATCAGCATTGTGTGATTTTTTATGATGGATAAGCACATGCTTTTCATGCCACACGCCATGAATTCATTAGACACAGGCTCTAGGTTGATTGCACTTACAGTGTTGTAATCACTGACCTACTCTCTGTGTTTTAATGATTTGCTGCATGCACTTTCTAGCTTATTTGCTTGTCTGTGTCTCAAGATAAGGAAAAAAGTAAAAGAAATGTTCCCCAGAGTACAACATTTCTGTCTTTGATCCATGGAAAGTTCATTGCTTGTACTTTTGCCAACTGCTAAAAACACAAATTTAGGAGAAATCAAGTCCCGATTTGCAGCTCCTAGAATTCACCTTGTAAACAGTAAATGGCCAAGCAGAATTAACTATATAAAGTTTTAAAATCACTATGAATAGATATTTTTATTCATTTTTTTGTTTTTATATCATGTGTTTTCACAATTTACAGATGCCTTTATTGAAGGTTCCTTTATTGTTTGAAAAGGGAGTCAGGAAATTAAAAAAGAATTGCTTCTGGGTTCAGTAGTCAATCAAAATACCTAAGTACTCAGGCTAGTTTTATCTAAACTTGATGCAGACTAGTGGCGTCAAAGAGTCATTTGAGAAAATGACTCCATAAGGTGAGGGTGTAGGTAAGCGTGTGCGGTGTTTGTTTTCTTAGCTAGTGATTGATGGGTAGGACCTAGCTCACTGTGGGTGGTACCACCCCTAGACTGGTGGTCCTGTGTTCTATAAGAAAACTGATTGAGCAAGTCATGTGGAGCAAGCCAGTAAGAAGTACCCTTCTATGGTCTCTGCACCAGTTCTTGCCTCAAGGTTTCTGCTTTTTTTTTTGAGATCCTGTCTTTATTTGCTTCAGTGATAAAGAGCGATATGGAAGAGTATATCAAGATAATCCTTTCCTCCCATTTTTTGGGATCATAATGTTTAATCACAGCAATAGTAATGAACTAAGGCAGAAACTGATGCTAGGAATAGTAGGGCATTGCTGTGACAGACCTGACCATTTGGGAGGATTGCTAGAAGAACGTTAAGAGAAGTGTAGACAATGGAGCCTGGCTTATAAAGTCTCAGAAAGAATAAAAGACACTCCCAGGCCTTTAGTATGAGGAATCAGGGAAGTCTGGTCAGCTGGAGATGAAAAATAGGCTGCGGCTAACAAGAGGCCAGAACTACTGAAGAAAAAACATTGCTTTGCTTGGACAATGGATGCTGGCCAACTGGCCTGAAGAATCATCAGCATCGTGAAGTCTTCTGGGAATTGTTTCCTCCTGGATAGCATACAGAAGTTGTGCTCCAGAGGAGGCCAAGGTTGTACCTCATGCTGGGAGCCAACAACTTGGTGGTGTTAAATGTCACCCAGGTGGTACTGACTTTGAAGGCAAGAAGGGATCATGGAGAGAAGTTGAGGCTTGGTACCTTATACAGGGTTAGCATGCCTGAAGAGAGCCTAGGAGAGGGTATTGGTGAAAGGACAGCGGAGTTGCCACAAGGGACCCAATCTTAAAAGTACTATAACATGATCACCAAGAACTTGGCAAAAATGGACTGGAGGCAGCTGAAGCCTGGAAGATGCACTGTGTGTGCCGCATGGGGCAGAGCTGTAGAAGTGACCCAAGCCCCTCCTGAAGGAGCCCAGAAGATTGGGAGTGTGTTCCATTGGAAACTGAGTTATTTAAACTGTTGAAGTTTGCTTTGGTTCTGTTTAGATTGTGACTGTATCTTGTTCTTCCCTCTTGAAATAAGAAAGTATTTAACTTTTTTATTTTAAAGGAGCCAATAGTCAAGAGACTTTCAATTTTAAGTATAAGAGACTGGATTTTTAAAAAGACACTGGTTTTAAAATGTTTGAATTTGTAAGAATGTGTAGCACTTTAAGTTTCTAAAATACTTTATATTGTGATTTTTTATATAAAATTGTGATCTTGGAGATGAACAAAAAGGGAATATCGTGGCTTAATAGTGATGTGTTTGACAAGTTGACAAGGGGTTTGCAGTCGTGGCTAATTTTATGTCAATTTGACACAAACTAGTGTCATCAAAGAGAGGGAACCTCAGCTGAGATAACGCCTATATAAGACTGTGATGTAGGCAAACATGTGGGGCATTTTCTTAATTAGTGATTGACACGGGAGAGCAAAGCCCATTGTGTCTATGGCCACCCCTGGGGTGGTGGTCCTTGTTCTGTAAGAAAGCAGGCTGAGCAAGCCTTGCAGAGCAAACCAGTAAGTGGCAGCTCTCTATGGCTTCTTTATCAGCTCCTGCCTCCAGGTTCCTGCCCTGTTTGAGTTCCTGTCCTGACTTCCTTAGATAGTGAGCAGTGATGAAGTGTAAACCAATTAAACTCTTATCCCCCAAGTTGTTTAATCGTGGTGTTTTATCATCACAAAGTAACCCTAACTGAAACAGTAAATATGTAATAAATAAATAAGTCGGCATAAATGGTCAGCGTTGCTTACTTTCTAATTGCATAGAGAATGGCTAATACTCTAATGCCCTTTGAGGAGAAGAATCTTGCATTTTGTATTATCATAAGCGTTTGAACATAGAAACTCTCAACTAGTTTGGTACTTGGTTATATTATCTGTTGAAAGAGTATCTGCTCTCACCTACCCACAGATTAACCACGGAGTTGAGGAACTTGTTTTGTTATATACAACTGAGATATTCTAAATATAAGACTTTTAAATTTTAAATAGAAACCAACATCCATCGAACTAATTTGCTTCTGAAGACAATTCTAAAGTTATAATGCTTATGCATGTTCCATACCCCAAATACTTCATATCACTGACTTGGAGCATATGCACAACATCCAGGGTTTGAGGGTTCCTCGGCTGTAGTTCTCAATGGGAAGTAAATGATGCTTCTCTTGTGACCACAGTTACTGGTGCTTTACTGAAAGGGAGATTTGGATTAAGTAGTCTGGGATGTGATCTGTGAATGTGCATTTCTAACAGGCTCCCAGACATCTGCAGGTCTGAGGATCATATTTTTCACAATAAAGGAATAAAGACATTTAATTTGTCTATCTTAATGGACTTGAACAACTGATTCATCCAGAATTTATCCATAACTTCCTTTAAAACACTCAGATTTTTTGATTAGGAGTTCATATTGAATTCTGAAAATGTCAAGTATTTCATTTAAAATATTCATAAGATAGCTACAATGTTTAGGGAAGTCTAGACTGTGGAAGCTGTTCCTCAATGCACTCTTATTCTTTGGTACAATTTTAAAGAACAGATTTGTTTGTTTGTCTTGTTTTTCATTTCTCTTGTATGGACACTGGGTCTACATGTGAGCCTATGCCCACGTGTACCTGGTACAGCAGAGGCTAGAAGAGGGTGTTAGTCTTCGGGAAACAGAATTACAGACAGTTTTGAGCTGCCATGTGCATCCTCTGGAAGAGTAGCCACTGCTATGAACTGCTGAGGCATCTCTCCAATCCCACAAAGCAGTTTTTTTATGGGAAAATATAATTGTTTTATATGCTGATTATTGACAATATTGCTACTTTTCATTTTCCTTAGATTCTAATTGATTTTATATTAAGAAATATAACTTTTAAAGTTCTTATCTTTAGGAAGAGTTAAGTTGGATTCTTGGTAATTTGCAAAGATTTTGATGTAATGTAAGAGATGATGAGTAGATTCCTCAGAGAAACAGAGAACAGTAATTTTCTCATATGAATTTACACTCTGTGAATTAGATACTAGTCTGAGAGATACATGAATTTTGTAAAAGTAAAAGAAGAAAGAGAAGGAAGAAGAGAATGAAGAAGAGAAGAAGAGGAGGAGAAAGGTGCAGGGGAAGAAGAGACAAAGGAAGGAGGACAGAGCTGCTTCATCTCTGGGTGAAATGAGAAACTCTGGTGGAAGCACGTGGAGTTTTCTCTCGAGACTCGGAGCAGCTCTGTCCTGCTAGTTGCTCCCCAAATATCTACACAGAGACTTTATATTAATGATAAATGCTAGGCCAAAAGCTTAGGCTTGTTTTTATCTAGTTCTTATAACTTAAATAACCAATTTCTATTAATCTATGTGTTGCCCCGAGGCTCTTTCGCCTCATGTGTGTACTTCCCATCCTGCTCACTCTATATCCCAGGGCATCTCCTCAGACTCCCCTGACTCCACCCTTCTTCCTCCCAAAAATCCTGCCCAGTTATCGGTCAGTTGACTTTGTATTAACAATGAGAGCAACGCATCTCTAGAGTCACCTCTGCCTTGGGGACTAAGACATCAAATATTCATCTCTATCTTCATTTTACAGATTTCCCATCAGCCTCAATGACTATATATTCAAGTTACTCAATCTCTTGTGAAAATGGATCACACACGCCTTGTAGGATGTGCATCTCTTGAGACACCATTTACAATTTACATCATTCTTCATAATAACCTGGAGGTAATTGTTTGAATGCAGATTGGATTCTTGGAAATTCTATGAAGGTACCAAGTTAGAATTTGTAGTGTCTGGTGGGATGGTGGCAACAATTTTACATTTGTAAGAAAATGAAAAATTTAATATCATATATACTGTACTCTGAGTACCATCACCTTGAATTTTGGCTTAACTACTGTAAGAATAAGCCCATTATCCCCACAAATTAAAATTTTAATTTCTCCAGGATACCATGGGGAATATTAGCCAAATGGTAAATATACTCAAAGGTATTTGACTTTTAAAAGGGCATTATTGTTAACAAAATGCAACTCTGTTTGGCAGAATCTGGGGCATTATGAAGAAGGGAGGGCTTTCAGAGATAAGTATATTTAGGAAGAAAAGAATTGTGTTGGGGGCAGGTGGACCCACAGAGGCAAGATATTTATAGCTTAGATGTTCCTCAGGAGTGAAACCTTCAAAGATATTTCAAAGAAGAGAAACAACTTCCTCTTTCCTTATGAACTCAGATTCTCTAAATAGATACAAGCCCTTCGCCAGGTCACACATAGTTGTGTGGAGTGGCCTCTGTCCTGATAATCAGGCTCTATAAGAGATAAAGATTTGGGGACATAAACAGCACATTTTGTATATGCCAATGATTTGTAGGTTGTGCAAGATGCTGTTTGGCTTTGTATTTTCCAACTACCTAAAGCAGCCTTGCAGGAGAACGCAGTAGTCTTTTTGCTGCACAAATGCAGGTGTAAAATGCTTTAGATAAGCTAAAACAATAAAAGTATTTAATAGAATTTACAAACTAAATGGCTAATAATAACTAAATGACGAACGATAATTACATGTTTTTATTTGACTTTCTTTGAAAGGGAGAAGACATTTCCTGAGACATTAGATTTATCATACAGAGTAAACTCGGAGCTGATTGAAGTGCAACTGTACATATATTGAGGACAGATCTGAAGATGGTCTGGAAAGTCATACTCTGAAAAATATGACTCTTCCAGCTGGAGTTCTTGAAGATATTTTCTCGTAGCCTCTGTTTCTTCTTTCCACACGTGCTCTGAGAAATGGGAAGTAATAGCCTGTACTTTCTGAGAGCAATCAATGTTCTTCCCCAGAATGAAAAATAATTTGTACATGGAATGAAGAATATTATCACTTTAATTATAACCACATGCTGATCATTAAAAAAGACATTAGCAACTGCTTTAAACTTAGATGTGGACTATGATAGAATATGGTAAGAAGTCCCTATTGTACGGACACAGAAAAATGAGATTGATATCTGCTAAGCAAATGCTCTTTGGGCTTGAGAATGACAGAGGATATGCGTGTCTGCTTTGCAAGCATCATCATTGCATTTAAATATCAAGCACCCACATGCAAAGCTGGAAGTGGATGCACACATCTGGAACCCCAGCCTTGAAGGGAAGAACAGGCAGATACCAAGAGTTCCCTGCTGAGTAAACTTAGCCAAAAGCCAAACTTCATGTTTCAATGTGAAACTTCCAGGAAATATTTGGATGGTGGTAAAGGAAGACCCTCGAAGTTCTCCCCAGTTCTGGTTTTTGCATATGTGCATTGGTAGGTACACAGTACAACATGCACACGTAACATATATGTACACACACACACACACACACACACACACACACACACACACACACCGAGACAGAGACAGAGACACGCACAGAAAAAAGAGGGGAAGCTTACTTAAAGGTTTGAAAAACAGAGTGTGAATTCAGAGTGTTTTTGTTTTTCATGAACTGTAAATCAATCACAAACAATGGAATCTCATGGATTGAAAAACTCTGAAATGAGAAGAAAAGTCAAATCGAGGGTCAAGTTGCCCAAGTCTTTCCAAAACTGAAGAAGCCTTGTCCAGTTTCAAGGGTGAAATAATCTTCTAGCTGATTCACCTGTCTACAGTGGTGGCTTGCTAGAGACCATACACAGAGATCTTAGTGACATGGTGAGCGTTACATACCTGTAATCCTGTCATTTGAAGGCTGAAGAAAGAGGATAGAGTTGAAGGCCAGCCTGGACTATACAGTGAATTACTGCACAGCAAGACATCTCAAAAACAAAACAAAAATCTCAGAGGAAAAAGACCGCTCAAACCCCCTGAAATAAAAAAAAGTCCTTCAAAATATAAAGTGACACATTATTAGAAAAATAAATTAAAAGAAATATTTTGTTCAAGACCTCCCAGTGGCTCTTGGTGAATTTAGGTAAGAGAAGTTGACAAAAGTTCATTTGACTTGTACGGTGTTGCCCAATCCATTTATCTATTTAAATTAAAGCTAAGATTAATTAGTATTCAATTCAGGTCTTTATAGTGTATTCCAAGTAGACATTAGCTAGCTACCTACTGTCCATGGACAGTATTGCTTATATAAATATGAAGCCTCGTTTCCATTGCTGGAGTGACTGGCTACGACTCTACTGGGCAAACCATAAATAATGAAAGGTTATTTTATACCATCCATGTATTAGCTTCAAGAACAACCAGTGGCCATCACTTTCTTCCCTTTACACTTCAAGATACAAGAAGCTCTACAGATTACTTATTTGTCACTTTTTCCCCATCCCTTAAACATGACAAAAAGAAATGCTGCCTAGTTAAGGGTAAGATAAAAAGCTAAATTAATTACAAGGATGGGGATACCACTATGGTTTAAATGTGCCCCACCACAGTTTATATATTAGAAATTCAATCATCAGTTAAACAATGTTGATATGTACCATTTTAGAAGTGATTAGGTCATAAGGCTTAGCCCTTATGCCCTCACAGATGGATTAAAGTCAATCCTATGGAACTAGGTTGTTACTGAGATTACAGTTGATTATAAAAAAAGGTTCAATCTCCCTCTTTGTTTTACCCATGTGATGACTTAACTATGCTGTGATGAAGCATAAAGATGCCAAACAAATGTGACATATCCATCTCAGACGTCTCAGCTTTTAGAATTGTTCACTAAGCAAATTTATTGTCCTTAATATAAATTACATTGTATTCTGTTTTCTTCTAAAAGCATAAATGAATCAACCCAGACGCATGTCTTAACTCTTATGGATGTTCTGAGTTGTAATCACCTATGGTCCAAATTTCAGGGATCCTAATGGTCAATGGAAAGGAAGTCTGTGGGAAATTACAACCTCAGTAACAGTCTTCTTGAAGTCAATGCATCTGAATGTGCAGGCTGCTAAGCAGACCGACACCGAACATCATGCTTTTTCTTGGTAGTTGTAAACATAAAGAAAGTAGAAGACAATCATCACAGAGGAAATTTCCTCTTGAAGTTCTTGGTGACAACCTTGGGATACTGGGTCTTACAGAGTTCATAATATTTCATATTTATAGAATTTTTAAAAGAAAAATGAAAGCATTTGTTCTTCCACTATTATTCTCTCTGTTCCTCAGACTTTGTGATATCTGAAACTACAGTCCATCAACTAATCCTTCAAATTCTGCTGAGATAGGAGAAAATTTGTGGAATCCAGCCAGAGGTCAAGTTTTCAAAATAATTGACTTAGTGCATTTTTTTTTATGTGCATGGTGTTTGCAGAACAGATGCCTGTGTGGGATTTTTATACTGCTCTAAAGTATAAAGGAAAATGACAATGTGAGACATATACTTTGTCAGAGAAAGAAACAAGTAAGCAAGCATATGCATTGAAATGTATATTGTTCCTCTTAGATTTAGTCAGCATAATAGTTTAGACCCTGTGAAATGATAAACTACGATGCACTTGGCAGTATAACCCGTGAGATTTCCTCAGGTTTCCTAGGGCATTTTCACTCCATAAGGTTTGTCTTTGGTCTTTGACCCACATTGCATTGATTTCAGTGCAGGATGGGGTGAGATAACAGATTTTTTTTTCTATTTCCCCAGGATCATTTGTTAAAGAATATATTTTTTTATGGTGCTTGTTTTTGCTGTCATTGTGTAAAATTACCTGACTATAACTTCGTGAGTTTATTTTCTGTCCTCTCTTCTACTGTACTGATCCATGTGTCTGTTTCCATGACAGTACCAGGCTGTGTTTCTTACTATACCTCTGATCTACACTTTGAAATCACATACTGTGATTCCTCAAACATTGCTTTTGTTTTCTTTCTGCTTAGCATTACTTTGATTGTTTGTAGTCTTTTCTGCTTCCTTCTTCATGAAAGCATCAGAACTACTCTGGGTTAGCAACATTCCCATTTGATAGGTACTGAGTATTGGGGTTGGAGAGATGGTTCAGCAGTTAAGAGCACTTACTGCTCTTGCAGAGGACCCAGGTTTGTTTCTCAGCACCCACATAGTGGCTCACAACCATGTGTAACCCAAGTTCAAGAGAATATGATACCGTTTTCTGGCTTCTGCAAGTACTGCATGCACTTGATCCTAGCCGAGCATCCTGGAAACTATGGCTCTGACCACTAGTACCACATAATCTTGTGTTGCAACACTTAGCTGCCATCCTAGCACTCAGGTAGTGTATGTATAAAGATCAGAAGTCCATGGTCATTCTAGACTACAAAGTGAGTTTGAGGACAGTATGGACTTCATGACACTCTTTCTAAAACCAAACAAATCAACATAAACATCAAAAGAAGTATTGTTATTTTATCTGTATTTATATAGTAGAGTCCCTCTTAGCAAATGAATCCTTTTCAATTTAGTTTATTCTTTCTTAGTTCTGATTTTCAAAAGGTAGTAGGGCAATTTTAATGAGAAAGTAAAAACCCATCACTCACATTTATCTGTGCTTTCAAAATTCAAATGCTTACACCATCATGTGTAAAGATAATGACGGAGCAATGGGACTTCACAGTCTGCTGACCGTGGTCCTGTACTTCTTCCTGTCTCCTCCTATTCTGCACTCAGGACACCATAGCAGGTTTTCATCCTTTCTCTCAGAAGGCTGTTTTCAAGAGCTCTGTTCTTAGAGGTGGTTCCCAGGCCAAGGATCTCAGACACAGGTCTTCCCAGGCCATAGTGGCATAACATTAAGGGAGTGAGTTTGACTGAGTACAGATATTGGGGCTTGAGGAAAGTAAGTTCTATTAGTTTGCTTCCTATTCCTGAACACGAGCTTTCTGATCTAGACCAGACAAACTTAAGAAGACAAAACACATTGTTCTGTATGATTAATATATAGCCCATTTCAAGATATAAACAACATTGTACGATGTTGGTTTGTTATTAGGATTGACTGTGTTTTTGATTACCATCACTATCATATCTTTTTTCTCATCAAGAGTCAGTGTTCTTGAAGTGATTCAATTTCAGGACTTAACAGAGACAAGCGTTCAACAAGAAGACAAAATTCCACTTATTTTGCCATTTAAAGTGGACTTCTCCAGTGCAGATTTTATCTGTTTAACTTTGAGAAAGAAGTCTTGGTATTGTTTGTAAAAGAAGCACATATAGAAAGTGGGGTGGAGTGGTAGAGAACATTAATTTAAGCAGGGAGGTAGGCAGTTCAACACAAAGCTTTGTTAGGCTCTGGGCTGCAATCTATACTTCCAGTCTTCTCTTTCTCCCCCTCTTCCACTTTCATTTTAAATTTATTTTGATTTTTCAGACAAAATCTCACAAATTACACTGTTCTGGAACTTCTTATATTGTCCAGGCTGGCTTGGACATGACAACTTTCTGTCCAAGCCTCTGGAGTGCCAGGAATGCATCTGTGTGACATCAATCCTGGCTACTTCTTATCTTGTGAACCAAGTTAATCAATTTGAATTCCTCTGTCATTTATTCTCTTCACTGGCCTGAGGAGTGAATCTCTTTCTTGATTGGAATTATCCACAGTTTTCAAAAATACATTGTTCTCACTGGTCTCTGCTATTTAGTTACTGTCGTTTCTATTCTAAGTACTTTCTTTTCTACTGATAGCATTATCATTTATTTTAGACATTCCGTATCTGGTGATGACTTGTAATTGATCAGCTCTTTATTCATTCGCCAACTGCTTTTCATTTCATTTTTCCTTCCTACCTGGTGAGGCTGACAGTATGAAGTTCTGTTTATAAACAAAACCAACTGTAGGGTATATGCACCTGTACAGCCGTGGACATATTTGCGCATCATACACAGAGGGTGTAGCTGCACGGACGGTTTTGCATACAGCTTGGGTCAGACTGCAGTGCAGCCCTAGGAGTCAAGAGCTAATTTGGGAAATGACATAAGAAAGAAGCAAAGCTGTGAAATTCTAGTGTTGTGGATGAAAACGAGTGTTTTCTCCCCTTGGTAGGAAGATGCTCACTTTTCTTTTAATACAAGTAGTAGTGATAGAATTGCCTACAGCAACTTCCCTTTCTCTCACACCTTCAGCATCCTAACATCCTGTGCTAACATAATGGATGACAGCCCTGTTTCCCAGCACCACAAGGCTACAATGTACATATGAGCATTTCCCTCTACGAATGTTTCCCAATGCCTTAAAGATGTTAAAGATGCTCAATCTTTATGCTGCTCTTAGCTGGCTTCCATCCTGAGAATGTAAATCCTCTGTTTGACTTGTCATAAGTTGACAGAAGACCCAAAAATGCCTGAGATCGCTAGCAGGGGCTAGCATGCTGTCTGAGTTTGGGCTGCAATATGGTGAAATCTGCTTGCTTTCAATTATTCAAACCCACTTATATTTCTTATGCCAAGTTGGGTAGGTTTATATTTCCATCTTTTTCCAATTCTAAAATGAGGTGCTTTGCATAAATTAAACCATCCCTATGCTACTGTGAGGAAGAATACCTTCTACAGCCCTTTAAGAAATTCCTACCTCCAAATCCAGAGATTTCTTCCTGTTACTGACTAGGTAAAGCTCCTGCCTTTTGCCTCTTAATATTCAGTGGCTCATGTCTAGTGTTCTTACCTGGCAGTGCCATATGTAGTAAATTTCCTTGTAGCAAGAACAATATTACTTAGATCAGGTCTCTTGATAAAGCAGTAATTTCATGGGTCACAATCTGTTAACTGATAAAACATAAAGAAAACAATCAGGAATTGATTAGCCAATTTCAAGCCCAGCAGGCTGACTCTGCCTCTGCTGCTGTTCTTTCTGTTCACAGAGCTAGCTAGCTGCTATGTGTGCTAGTCCATGTGCTCATTTATTTATTTATTTTTCCCTGAAGCACTAGCTCTGATTGCCATGATTGAAGGATTTGATTGTCAGGCTAAACCGAGGAATAGCATAGTCCACATCTGGCTGGTCATGTGACAAATACCCAACATTACCC